GTTGTGCCAGAGGAAGTTCAAATTGGATATTAGGAAGAATTTATTCTCCAAAGAGCAGTTAGGTATTGGAATGGGCTGCCCGGGGAGGTGGTTGTGTCAGTGTCCCTGGAGGTGTTCAAGAAAAGCTTAGATAATATACTAAGGAATATAGTTTATTGGGGAAATATTGGTGGTGGACGACCACCATATTGGAAATCGGAAATATTGGTAGATGTAGATGACTGTACTAGATGATATAGGAGGTCTTTTCCACCTTGATGATTTTATGATATAGTTCATTTGGTTGTAGAATTAATCTTCAAGGAGGAAAGAAAAAGGTAATCTGATTAAAATATTTGCTAAGTGTTCCAACCATTGTCTTTCTGGTGCATCTCTTCAATTCACTTAAAATAAAAGGAAGAAGGAAGTGTTTTCAGTTGACAGTTTCTTTGAGTATTAAATTTTGCTTGGGATTTTGCCATTTTGACTTATCAGATATTTTTCCTTAGCATCTTACCATCTACATTTTAATGTTTGCTATATTTATTTTACTATATACTTGTAAATAACTTTTGGAAAGACAACTAACATAAATATTGTAGGTGTGAGTTGTCAGTGGAGAGCTGTATATTGGTAGTGAAGTTTGGACAGGCAAACGTTTGATTCACATCTGTTTTGGTATCTGCTGCATATCTTCTCCCTCAGTGTTTGAAAGGTGTGCAGACTCAGAGTTTAGGTATAGCTGTAAGCTGTACAAGGCATAGATTTACTTTAGCTCAGTTAAAAAAAATTACGTTTTAAGAGACAAGATCCACAGTTCCCCAGAGTTCAGGGGGTTTTGAGTTTTCTTGTTTTTCATCAGGGTAATTTTTTGTGCCATTTGGAAGGTTTTCCAACCGTACTTTGAGCTCACTGTATTAAAACAAGATAAAAAGACATAATTCTGTCAGTGCTGTAATACTGTTTTATTTTAGTGATTGCTATTTCAACACAGTGTTCGCAGAGTGACAAGTGGTTTTTCCTTGAACGCAAAGATGAATAATGACACATACTTCAGCAGATACATACACTTCCAAAGAACCTATTACTTAGTGGGAAAGCCTGTCAGAAACAGGTTGCATTAGGTACCTTGGTTTGGTCTCCCAAGCAGGGGAGGCTGAGAGACCTCATGGCAGCTGCAACTCTTCAATGGGAGCAGAGGGGCAGCACTGATCTCTGCTAGCTGGTTACAATGAAAGAACCAGAGGGAATGGCATGGAGCTGTGTCAGGAGAGGGGCAGGTGGGGTTAGGGGAAGGATCTGCACCAGAGGGTGGTGGGCATGGCCCTAAGCTGCTGGTGCTCAGGGAGTGCTTGGGCAATGTTCTCACATTTTGGCTTTTGGTTTTGGGTGATGCTGTGTGGAATCGGAAGTTGGACTAATAGGACAAGGGAAAATGGCTTTAACCGGGAAGAGGGGAGTTTTAGGTTAGATATTAGGAAGACAGTTTTTAATCGTAGGATGCTGAGGTGCTGGAACAAACTCCCCCAAGATGTTGTGGATGCCTCATCTCTGGAGGCAGTCAGGGCCAGGCTGGATGGAGCTCTGGGCAGCCGTGGCAGGGGATTGGAACTGGATGGGCTTTAAGGTCTCCTCCTTAAGCCTTTCAGTGATTCTATGACTCCGTGGTCCTTATGTGCCCCTTCCAACTCAGGATGCTCAATGATTCTGTTATCCACATATTCTGTAGCTATTTTTGCATGCTTGGATAATTGGCAGTTTGAGATAACAAGTGGATAGCTTTTTGTATCCACTGAAATGTCTCACAGCAAAAATGTCAATGCATCCACAGCCCTCTGAGTTGTGAGTCAGGCCCATGGTTAAGAAACCAATCCTTTCACTTCTTGCTTTGGGCAAGAACTTTATAAAGTTCTGCTATTGTGCTGCCACTGCAAACAAACTGCACTATGGAAGGATTTTTCTAAAGTCTCCTTTTACTCCTTATATCATAAGTGTATCCTCTTATCATTTTACCTTGAAGTATTTTTTGGTGCATTTCTAGAGAAGAAAGAAAATACTTTTTCCTGATAAGTACAAAACGTTTATGTGTTTTTTTTTCCCCTTTATCTTTTTTTTTTTCCTTCTTCACATTTTTGACATAGTACGATCGTGATTTTTTTGCAATAGAAAAATAAAAACCAAAAAACTTACCTTCTAATTTGGTACAAAATGCATTTTGTACTGCTACTTAATATATTCCCAAAGCAGGCATGCACTGCAATCCCAGAATTCATCCTCCCCAACCCTGCAGCTGAGTTATTACAGAGGCTTCTGTTAGTTAAATGTTAATTCTTTATATATGCAGAGTTGGGGAACAGGGAACACATAGCTCAAGTAAAAAAAGTTGTGGTCTGGAAAGCCAGCTAATCTTTTGGATGGTTCTTCCCTTGTGCAGTGTCCTTGAGCTACATCCTCTTGTACGTAGATTTCTTAAGGAGTAGCTGATATTCTTGGGCTACCTCAAGGGAAAAAAGGTCTTTGAGTATGAATAAATTTTTCTATAGATCCACTGATATTCTGCTATCAGCATGGAGCATCTTTATGGATATGCATTATCCTATTGTGTCAGACTGAAATTAGAATTCTCTTTTTTCCTGATTTTTTTTTCCCCTTGAGTTAGCTCATTTGTATGGAAGAAATTAATAACTTTCACTATAGTTTTTCTACCTTTCTCTGAAAATACCTTTGTTAACTAAGCATCCTTTTTTGATATAGCTTTCTTCTTTCTTTGTAATACTTTTTATAAGTAGTAAGAATTAGAATAGGAAGTTTTAAACTGGAACTTTTTATCCTTTTTGGCTTCCTCCCTCTACTCTTTTCATATCTTGATGCAGTTGCCATCCCCATCACTCTTGTGGTGTCACTCTCCAGTGATCCCACTGTATTAATCCTGGAATTGCCTCTTCAAGGTAAATTAGATCATCTTTAAGGTTCAGAGAATGATTTCAGGATTTTATTACTGGGCAAGCCACTGACCTGATATTATTTCCTCAAAGAGAATATCCTGGGCTTAGTTTCCAGTATGCATACTTGTTCTTCATGATTTCAGTACATCTGGCTGAAGTCAGTATTTTACTCTTTCCTTCAATTTCTTTTCTGTCAAACACCTCTGGCAAATTAGATTTAGCACTGTCCACCCTATTCCCCTTAGAATTTTAATTAGCTTGTTGCTAAATACCCAGTGCAGTGCAATCGTATGTATTTGATTTCTGCATTTATTATTTGTCTGAACCGAAGTACTCTGATTACATTAATTTTTGTAATGCACTGTTATGTATCTGCAAACAAAACTACACTATGGGTCAAATCTGTTTGGTTATGATTATAAAATAGATATACTTTTGGCTTCAGACTCTGAGTATGATCCGTGTTTCACAGTCATTTTGTACCCATACACAGGGCAGGTGAATAAGGTAAATACATGTGATTATTTGCTTTTGTGCCTTTGGGCATAATCTAGACATATCGTAACATTTTGCAGGTGGTAGGGAAGCTGGAACTTGATGATCCATGAGGCTCCTTGCAACCCAAGCCATTCTCTGATTCTGTGATTTTGTGCCTCATGTTCTTGATGATGACAAAACCATAAAAAGCTACTCCAAGACCACAGCTAGAAGTTCTTGCAACACGTGGAGAATTGGACGAGTGATAGCTAAGTAGTCATCTCTAGCTTCATACCACGTGTCCTCTGGATTAAGTGACCTTCTTGGTGGGATGGGGACATAGGCAGATGGAGGCCAGGTGCCCTCCTACAGGCAAGTGGGGATTGTTCTGCTTTGTGTAGCTTGAAGGAGATCTGCTCTGAGCCACCTGTCAAGGACATGGTGAACTAGGGATTCCTTGTCTCACTTTTCCCTCTTGCTTTACTCAGTCTTGTCCATATGAACATCAGCAATAAGTCACCTGTGCGAGGAGTATGCAAGAAAGAGCCCAGTAAGGAACAATAAAAAGTGTGTGACCAAGAGATACCTGGCAGGGCATCTTCAGTCCTGTTTAAAAAGAGATGGTTATTCCAGTGAGGAGAATGTAGTGCCATGGAAGTCCACCCACCAACCGTCTGTCTTAGGGAAAGCTTCTTGCTGGAGAAAGGGAGAAATGCCTTAGATGAGTCCCCTCCAAATAAGAAGGGAAAAATTGTAAATATGGAGAGACCATATGGTGTAATTTGATGCTATACAGAACAAATGAGGCTTCATCCAAAGTGATGGAGTTAATTTTGGATGTGACTTGCTTTGAGTTTTGCTTATTAACATTTTGCTAAACTAACATTTTACTTGATCATTGATTTTATACCTGGCACTGCAGATGCAGGTACCTAAACCAGATGTCATTTCTTGCTGTCAGGTTTCCAGGAATTCAAGACAGTTTCTGCTTAGTGCTCCAATTTATAATATTCATAGCTTAGTGTGTGAGAAATACCGATGGTCAAGTACCTGCTTTGATTTTATTTATTCAGAACTATAATGATCCTCTGAAAAAGAACTTCAGGAGTAGATACTTCTGTCAGTACCAGAGCCTCCCAGATCTTAGGCCAAATTCTTCTTTACACAAAACCAGGTTCTGAAATTAGCTGTTCTTTTTTTCTGCAAGGTTGAGCAGCTTCCGTTAGTATTCACATACAAGCCTTTGCTCTGCTTAGCAATTTTTTCAAGACTTGTGGGTGGGTGGTGATGGAAAATTGTATGTTTTGTGCTTCTGACACTGCTGTGGATAGTGACAGGATGAAAACCAGCATTGCATAGACTGTGACATAAAGACAGAGCTAGTGATATCTTTTCAGATCTGGAAAAATATTCCTATTCTGGCAGGTTTCTCTTAATACCTAATAAGCAAAGAAGAGAACAAAAGAGTAGCAGAGGAGTAATGAAAATGGATAGTTATACAAAGTGAGCTTTTATTTGTTTATTTACTTATTTTCCTCAGAGCATTTCTGTGCTGAAGCCTTTAGAAGAAAGTACTTACAGATGTTTGATTTCTTACAGGTCCTCAGATTTTGGGACATTATACACAAAGTTGAATCTACAGCCTGGGATTGCCACTGTTATTGACAATTTCTACATTTGTCCCACCAACAAAAAAAAGGTATGTGGCAAAAAATGATGTTTTATACTGCAGAGGAAACTGCAACTATGTATTTGAAATGTTTTATCGGCTTTAAAATATAGGGGAATGGTTTTCACCAAGTAGCTGGTCACCCTAATTTTATCTGTGATGTATCAGACTGGAATATTTCCTATTGTTGAATAATATACAAGGGGAAAAATGGCATGAGAACTTTTGTGGCCACTAACTTCTGGGGATCGGTTTTCCATAGGGTTTTCCACAGAAAGGAAAAAACAAATGCTGTAGGTTTTCAAACATCTACACAAATGTTGGGTCAAGCATACAACCTCTTCATTCTTTTTATATGATTTCAAAGTCCTTTTGGATGTTCCTGATTATTAAGTATAGGAATGGGACAGTCTGTCATTTGGAATGATGTTTATCCTCTACAAAACCTTAATTAAAAAATAACAAACACCTCTCCTTCAAGCTCTTTCTTAAAAAATGTTCCCACATCATTACTGAACCAAGAAGCTTTTCATGGCTCTTTAAAAGATTAAGTGGACTTTATAAGTGAGAATGAAATCGACCCATTGAGTATATTTACAATGGATGCTATATTAGAACCAACAAGAAGAGTGATTATGAGGAAAAAAACAGTAACAACAACCCTTCTATGTCTGCAAAATTTAAACTGCAAGAATAGTGAAATACATTGTGAATAACACAAACGCAGTGGGTCTTTTGTGAAGTAAGAATTTTCTCTTGATAGGGGCCTTTTAACTACACTGTAATACAGAAGAATTGATTTCATGCAGAGGCCAGTGATTGGAAGGACAGTCCTAGTTGTGATTATCTGTCTATTCTGCTTAATGAAAAATCAGTGGAGTTTGGTGAGGCTGCCTGGATGATTAAGTACATATTTCATTTCTCTTGCAATTGTGACTGTTTCGTGTGTGTGTGTGTGTGACCAAACTATACTATGCCTAGGTAACATTTTTTTAATCTGCTTCAAAGTTAGAAATTATTTCTTGGAGTGGAACTACCACCAAACACTTGAAGATTCTGCGCACTGTCTGTCTCAAAACTAAGATTTACTGTTTATTTCAAGTCCAAAAAGAATTTTTAAAAATCTTTACCCATTTCAGTTTCTGGATTGAAAGCTAAAAGGTTGAGAGCTCAGTGGGAAATTTTTCCTATCTCACCCAGGTAGAGCATAAAAGCATGTACAGTGTGTCAGTGACTGTGTGATTGTGCCAGTTGTCTGGCAAAATAAACAGTGTTAAGATCACTGCTGAATTTCAAGCCTGAAGGACTCACTGAGTTTTACAAAAAAAATCTCTTAACACTATCTTAGAAAAACCTGTTTTCTACACAAGTCAACTTGAAGACCTTAGAGATATAAATTCAGTTTAGTGAACTAATATTATATTGCAATCCACTTCTTAAAGAGTCTTTTTTTTTGGTAGTTATTAAATATGTTATTTTTATGTTGAGTTCTGCTTCTCAGTAGATGGTGTTCAGTAGTATGCAAAGAACAAAAGCAGAAGATCAAAGGATTTCTAGGATCTGCAGGTTATTCCAGAAGGAGATACGTGTATACATGTAAATGTACATATATGCCCATGTACATGGTTGTAATAAAGCTGAAAGGATTCAGATCAAACAGTGTAGCTGGCATCTTCAAGCTGGTCTTGGAGGGGTTGGGGTCACGCATAGCAAGTAAGTGGGAAATCTCTGTGTCACAAGAACTTTGTCATTGGACACAAACACTACCAGCTGATTTCACAAAAGTCATTTAGAAAGATGGAAGAAAATTTCTCCCTTACCTATGTTCTCCAGCGCAGTTGCGTTAGGACAGAAGAAAACATTTGACCTGAGCAGAAGTCTCAGGATTTGACTCTATCCTGATATTACTAGACTTCAGGTTGCTGTGGTGTGAGTTTTCTTCAACCAGCACACGTTTTGAAATATGCTGAAACTGGGAGCTGTGGTGGAGTGCTGACTGTGCTTCCTGGCACTGAGCATGCACTTTAAATTTAAAGCATAAGTAGTCCCATGCTATCACTTAGTTTTTATGGACTGGGAATGTGCATGAAAGCAAAGATAAAAGCCACTGACAGGGATTTTTTGAATACTTTGCATATTAAATGTTATTCTGTGCTTCCATTTTGTTTACATGTTGTAGACCTCATCTGTGGAAGAACTGATACTGCAAACATAATGCTCCGCGTTTGTACCTCATTGTCATCAGATCTTTAATCTCATCTGATTTTCACTCTGTAGAGTTTAGGTGTTTTGTCAGCCCTTCTCCTTCTGTAGTCCATAGAGAAACTTGGGTCCCTCTTGGCAGTTTATCCTATTAAGGTCATAGTTTATTGCACTTACGAAAGTAAGACTGAATGGTCTTGTATGTGACTTCGTTACTCTAGTGGGTGTTCAGTGAGTTCAGCGAGTTCACACAGAGAGAGATTTTTTTTTTAATGGAATTAAATTAAATATTTACAAGAAGGCTCCAGTCTAGTTCTTAGGTTAGCTTTATTTCTTCAGGTTTATCTCTGCCTGTATACCAGCTTTTGGAGTGCATTAGAGTTTCACTCAATGTGCTTGCAGTATTTGAGGTAGAATTACACCATAAAGACCAATGGACTTACAAGTGATCTTGATACCGAAAATGTGAAATTGTACTGAAAATTTTTGAACCCTATGAATTGCTCATTTGTACTATTTTAAGATGAGTCAGAAAAAAAGATTTGATACTTCTTATCTTCCCTGTGTCATTTGTCAAGCAGTTAAAATTCCACAGAATCATAATGGTGTTTATGATTAAGTGCATTTGCAAGTGCAGAGGTTAGAACCAGATAGCAGTCCATGGAAAAGGGATTGTATTCAAACAAAACACAGTAAAGCATTTTCAGCATAAGCTATAGGAATGCAGGGGACTTTCAAGTAGCTGGTGGAAGGGAGGAAATCAATTTATAAAGCCCACTGAATCCATCAGAAGTGTCACGTTTGTTTTTCTCCATTACTCTTCTACGAGTGAGTTGCGATGTCCATAGGTCTGCCAGAAGAATCGGTATGAAATTATATCAAGATCATGTCTACAAAATCTTTTGTACATAGAGTTCTCTCTGTCTGGGTCTTGTTCTGTCTGATTGCACCAGAATTCTGATGTAATAATTGTGTTGTTGTAGTTGTCATAGGACTGACTCTAGGAAAGCCAGTTTTGACAAGAAATGACACAAAGCTCTGAGAATAGAGCTTTAGAGGGCTTTGTGTTGCACTGAATAGCCTTTTTAATGAAATCATGGTGTGAAGGTGTGAGCTGTGGCTGTTCTGGGTGTGACTGAAAACTGAACTGTTGTCAGGAAGTAGCACAAAGAGGAGACATTCACTCCTACCTGCAAAAGACCATGTAGGCTCACTCTGAATTGCTATGAGACACTAATTAAAAGTTTACGCTTCCTGAGTATATATTATTATTTGCTTTATGTTCCAGTTGCTTTTAGCATGGTAGAAATCTGCAACCAGAGCCAGAGAAACTATTAATCATGTTGTTCTTAAATGATGCTGGAAAGTTGTAGGGTAATGAGTATGAGATCTCCTATGCAGCCTCTGACAGTAAATTCTGAATTTGAAATTCTTTTTCATTGATCAGTGACATAAAGTAGTCAGTCTATGCAGTCCTTGAAGTGCTGTGCATTGATAAGGGATATTCTTGTACCTGAAACAACAGAGTTTATATAATTATCTTGTTTGCAGTAATTACTCTGTGCTGATTGCATCAAGTAGTGCAGACATTCTAGGATGTACCACAGCGAGAATATAATTGGATCTATATCCTCTGTTTTCCGAACCAGCATTATAACTGTGGTTGTGAAGAGATGCACACAATTCATGGAATAGGAAGTTACGCTTTTCATAATGTCAATCTGGAGTCAGCTAAACAAAGTAAATTCTTTTCATAGAAGACAAAAATTAGAAGATTCACGTACACTGAGCTAAATTCATACCAAAACGTAACATTTTTCTAGGTCATATATGCTGCTTGGTGTAGAAGTTACATATTTATTTTAATTCAGTATGAAATTGATGGGGAGGAGCTAAATGAAAATGCTTTTCCCAGATTCAGTACATATTTTAATTTTCATTGATGCATATGCATTTGATGCATCCGTTGTTTTGGATATACACTTTTTTGGAAAGTAGCAGATAAGCAGTGTATATTCAAGATTTTCATATTAACAGAAAATAAATGTTTATTGTGTCTGTGTTACTAGATAAATGGGTTGAACAATTACATTCTGATCTGTTGCAATAACCAATAGCTGCATGATTTTCCAAAGTAAGGAGCAAGATGGCAGTTGCGTCCTTTTCTTGACAAACCTTGCAGAATACATAAAATAGTAATGAGAGTATAGGTTATCCTGACAATATTTTGTGTCTTGATTCTTTAAAAATTGTATACATTACATGTGATAGCAAAATGGTATTTTCCACTGCTATAAGTGTTCAAGAAGCATCTGGGTTGAGCAACGTTTGTAGTCATTAACCGGTAAATGTGTTTTGTCCTTTCAGAGCAAAACAGTTGGTAGTGGAAGGTACCAAAAAGCAGCATAGTTGCGTTTACTTGTAAGGAATGATTGTACTCAGGTATCGGTTTCCTTAGAGAGAATGCCAGTGTGTCTAGAAGCCTACAGTACAGAATTCTCTTACACTTTTTATAAAAGTTGTCTCAGCTAAGAAAGAATGTCTTTCAATAACCTGAGTAGTTTCTTCGGGAAGGTTTCACTTTGAAATTGCAGGATGGCCACTAAGATGACCAGAGGGCTGGAGCACCTCTTCTATGAGGAGAGGTTGAGGGAACTGGGATTGTTTAGCTTGGAGAAGAGAACATTTTGGGGAGAACTCATTGTGGCCTTCCAGTACTTGAAGGGGGCGTATAAACAGGAGGGGGAACAGCTGTTTACCAGTGTGGATAGTGATAGGACAAGGGGGAATGGTTTTAAACTGAGACAGGGGAGGTTTAGGTTGGATAT